AGGAGATGAAGATGAAGAGTACACTCATCAAAGGGGTGATCTCCGCGAGCATCTCAATAGAAAGAGAAGTTCGTCCCTCAGAAAGGGACGATCTCTGTCCTGCTCGCACAAAAGCTCCAACCAGCAGGCCGAGTCCTCCTACAATCCAATAACTCCCTAGGGAGGAGTTCGACCAGCTAAAGAGCAAGTTTGATGCTCAGGTTGAAACCTTGAAGCCTAGGTGCGAGAAAAAAGAAAATTCGTTCGATGATGGCGACCTTGGAGAATCGCCATTCACTTCAGACATCCTGGAGGCTCCAATCCCTCCGAAGTTCAAAACTCCCACCATAAAGCCTTATGATGGGTCTAAGGACCCAAAAGACTATGTTGAGGTCTTTGAAGGCCTCATGGATTTTCAGGCGGCAACAGATGCAATCAAGTGCTGCGCCTTCCAGATCGCACTCACCGGCAGCGCGCGCTTATGGTATCGAAGACTGCCGGCTAAGTCGATCTCGACCTACTCACAGCTGAGGAAAGAGTTTATCAGTCAATTCTCTTCTCGGCATTATGATAGAAAGACAGTGACTCACCTCGCCACCATCCAGCAGAAGGAAGGTGAGACGCTGAGGGAGTATGTTACAAGGTTCCAGGAGGAGCAGTTGAAGGTTGCGCACTGCTCCGATGACTCGACCATGTGTTACTTCCTTACCGACCTGGCCGATGAGACCCTCACCGTGAAGCTCGGAGAGGAGGCACCGGCAACCTACACCGAAGTCTTACAAAAGGCGAAGAAAGTCATTGATGGCCAGGAACTCCTCCGAACAAAGACTGGTCGACTTGAGAAGCAGATCGACCAGAAGAAAACAAACCAATAGAAGAGGAAGGTTGATTCCAAATCAAAGGACAAGGGATCATCCTCTTCCGGCGGATGAACTGAGTATCGTAGATCTAACATCGGCCCTAGTCGAAACTGACCTTACGAGCGTTATACCCCAACCACCATCCCCATCTCTAAGATACTTACAAACATCGAGGAAAGTGAGATGAAAAAGCTCCTCAAGCGACTTGAGAAGCTCCGAGGAGACCCAGAAAAGTGCAATAAGGATAAATATTGTCGTTTTCATCGCAATCACGGCCATAATACATCAAATTGCTGGGAATTGAAGCGCCAAATTGAAGACCTCATTCAAGATGGCTACTTCAAAAAATTTGTTGGAAAACCAAGGTCCAACTCAGTGGAGAAGAAAGAAGAGAAAAAGCGTTCAAGGACGCCACTTCGTCGAGATGATCGACCTGCGATCATCAACAATATTTTCGGGGGCCCTAGTAGGGGCCAGTCTGGAAACAAAAGGAAAGAGCTAGCTCGCGAGGCCAGGCGCGAGGTATGCATCGTCAGGGAGCAGAAATCGACTTGTTCCATTACCTTCGACGATGCCGATCTGGAGGGGGTCCATCTACCCCATAACGATGCACTTGTGATCGCCCCCTTATCGATCATGTCCTGGTCAGAAGAGTATTGGTAGATGGAGGCGCGTCTGCCAACATTTTGTCCCTCCCTACGTATCTGGCCTTGGGATGGACCAAGTCTCAGTTGTAGAAGAGTCCAACACCTTTGGTTGGATTCTCTGGAGAATCGGTCTCTCCAGAAGGGTGTGTCGACTTACCGGTTACGATTGTGCAAAATAGTACACAAGTAACTCAGATGGCCGAGTTCGTGGTGATTGACGGCAGATCGGCCTACAATGCCATCTTCGGGAGACCCATCATCCACTCATTCCGGGTTGTTCCCTCAACGCTTCATCAAGTCTTGAAATACTCGACTCCTAATGGAGTGGGCACGGTTCGGGGAGAGTAGAAAACTTTAAGGGAATGCTATGCCTCCACGCTAAAAGGGTCATCAGTATGCGCCCTGGAAGAACAAGCCAACTGGGACAAGTTGCTGGAGCCCGAGGCCGACCTACCGAAACCAGGTAAAAGGAAATTCGCAGCACCAACAGAAGAACTCGAGCTTGTTCCTTTGCTTAGCCTTGATAAACGAGTAAGCATAGAAACCAAGTTGGGGGCCACTGCTAGGGAGGAGCTGATCAACTTCCTTAGGTCCAACTCGGACGTCTTTGCGTGGTCTCACGAGGACATGCCCGGCATCGACCCAAAGATCATGGTGCATCGCCTCAACATAGACCCATCATTCCGACTTGTAAAATAGAAAAGAAGATCTGTAAATAAGGAAAGGAGTGATGTAATTGTTGAGGAGATTAACAAACTATTAAAAGCTAAATATATAAGAGAAATTCGGTATCCCGAGTGGCTCTCTAATGTTGTATTAGTTAAAAAATCCAACGGGAAGTGGAGAATGTGTGTAGATTTTACAAAATTAAATAAAGCATGCCTAAAGGACTGCTTCCCCCTGCCGAGGATCGACCAGCTCGTGGATGCAACGGCTGGGCACGAGCTGCTCACCTTCATGGATGTCTACTCCGGATACAACCAAATCAAAATGCATGTGTCAGACCAAGATCATACCGCGTTCATAACAGACTAAGGTCTGTACTGCTACAAGGTAATGCCTTTTGGCCTGAAGAATGCGGGTGCGACCTACCAAAGGATGGTGAACAAAATGTTCGCCAAGCAGATCGGTCGGAATATAGAAGTATATGTGGACGACATGCTTGTCAAGAGCAAGAAGTCAAAGTCGCATCTTTCCGATCTGACTGAAGCTTTTGAAGTGCTGCGAAAGTACCAAATGAAGCTTAATCCGACCAAGTGCGCCTTTGGGGTCTCCTCGGGGAAGTTCCTTGGTTTTATGGTAAACAATCGTGGGATTGAAGCCAACTCAGAGAAGATAAAGGCCGTGCTAGAGATGGAAGCGCCCAAAACCCTGAAATAGCTTCAGTGCCTCAATGGAAGGATTGCAGCTTTGAACAGGTTTGTCTCACGGTCAACAGATAAGTGCCTTCCTTTCTTCAAAGTCTTGAGAAAAAAGGGCCTTTCGAATGGACGACAGAGTGCGAGCAAGCATTGGAACAATTGAAAAACTATCTCTGCTCGACACCTCTACTTGTCAAGCCATTGCCAAGAGACAAGCTCCACTTGTACCTGGCAGTGTCCGACAGCACCGTCAGATCGGCCCTAATCAAGTAAGAGGGAGTACGCCAGAGTCTCATT